GGACAGATGTGTTACTTCTGTCAGTTCATGGTACTTTCAATATTCTTCATCAACACCACAACTCAAAAGCATTATCACCTCTTCTTCATTCTTCCTTATTCATTGTGCAGCTTTCACATGCATTTAAGGCTATGGAAAACACCATGGCTTGGGTTAGGTGCACCTTCATCTTCAAAGAGATATCTTTGTTCTTCAGCACTTTAAAGAGGTCTTTTGCAGTAGATTTGCCCTGTGCAATACATTGTCTGATTTCTTCACTGCTGCTTCCATTGGTGTTGATTGTGAAACTAAGTAATGTGAAATCTTTGAAACTTCAATCTTTTCTCCGTTTATCATAATGCTGCTTATTGGTCCAGTTGTGAGGATTTTCATTTTCTTCATGTTGACATGTAATCCATACTCTAGAGTGTAGTCTTTAATCTTCATCAGCAAGTTCTTCAAGTCATCTTCACTTCCCGCAAGGAAGGTTGTGTCATCTGCATTATTAATGAGTTTTCCTCCAATCCTGATGCCGCATTCTTCTTCATATAGTCCAGTTTCTTGTATTATTAGCTCAGCATAATGACTGAATTAGTGAAAGTATACAACTCAGACACACTCCCTTCCTGATCTTAAACCACGCAATATCCCCTTGTTCTGTTCAAACAGCAGTACCTGATCTACGTGTAGGTTCCTCATGAGTACAATTAAGTGCTCTGGAATTCCTATTCTTCTCAATGTTATTCATAATTTGTTACGATTCACACAGTCAAATGCCTCACATAGTCAATAAGATACAAATAAACACCTTTCTGGTATTCTTCGCTTTCAGCCAAGATCTATCTGATATCAGCAATGGCATCTTTCATTCCACATTCTCTTCTGAATCCAGCTTGCATTTCTAGAAGTCCCCTGTCAATATACTGCTGCAACCATTTTTGAATTATCTTCCGCAAGATTTTACTTGTGTGTGATATAAATGATATTGTTTGGTAATTTCCACATTCTTATATAATAACTTGGGGAGCTCTAGTAGCATAGTGCCTAAGGCACTGGACTTTAACCAGAAGGCTGGTGGTTCAAACCCAACAGCCACTCCTCGGAAGGAAGATGGGGCAATCTACTTCCATAGTGATACTGCTTTTGAAACCCAAGGAGGGGTCGCTATGAGTCGGGTCTGACTCGACGGCACATAACAACAACAACAAAATATAATAACTTATATAATAAGTAGGTATATAATTCCTTTCAGGTGATAGTTGTTGGTGTAATATGATAATCTTCTACTTTCTGGTTGTTTACTTCTCTAGTTAGCACTGACAGCCAATGGCAAGGGAAATTTTCTTGTAGGCCTCTTCTCAAAGGAACTATACCTAGGACAATGGGAAGGTTTCTAGTAACTGTTTCTGGTCCACCCACACAACTTCGTGGATAATGAACACCAATGTGACATTTTCTTTGAAAGACATTGATTGATCACATGATCATGTATACTTCAAATATACTTAAATACAAAACCTAAATATATACATATTAAAGGAAGTACTTAAAGAATGAAATGGAAAGAATGACACTGTAAGGACTGACAGAGACATATGGATGAAATGCAAACAAGAAGAAGGTAGGATGTCAAAATATCTTCAGAGGAAAAGAAATTAAAGTGAGACAAAGAAGGACTGTTTAAGGTAGTAAAGTGTTTAATCCTCTCCAAAGATCTCATCATAAACAATATCTGGACACCAAATAAAAGGGCATCAGAATTCAAAGTACAAAAGTAATAAGAACTGCAAGAATAAATAAAATACATTAATGATAGACTTTAACTCAACTCTCTCAACTTAAAATAGATCAAGTAGAATAAAATTATGTACAGATATGGAAGATCTAAATAACATAATGAGAAAAGGTAATTTAATTGAGATATAATGAACTCTACAATTTTAGAACAAAAAATAAACTCCTTTTCAGCATTCTTGGGAAAGTCACTAAAAGAACCACTTTTATTAGGGCAAAAAGGAAGTCTCGATAATTTCCAAGAGAGACAAAAAGTACTAACTATACTATTGGATCATAATGCAGTTAAACTAAACATAAATAACCATATCAGGTGAAAAATTCTATCATTGGAAATTTTAATCTCTTTCTCTTAAATAGCTTTTACATAAAAGAGGAATTTAAAATGAAAATTTTCAATAAGAAATTTTCTGGTTATTTTTGTTTGCTTAATTTTGTATGTGAAGTTGCAAATAAGTTTGTCTAGTTCTAAAAATGTCTTACTATTGCTAGAGCGGCATTTAATTAATTAACTGAGAGAGATTTGATATGTTTATGATATTGCGTTTCTAATGAAGAAAATGTTATAAGCTTTCTATTAATTTATTTTTCTTTTTAGGTTTATTCAAAGTTTTTTTTTAAATTTTTCCTGGGTATTTACAAACAGAAAATTTCTAAAATTTCTACATTTTCAACTGGCTGTTGATCATATAAAAAAATATTACTTTTTTATGTTAATTTTGAACCTAGACATCTAATTTTCTTAGTGCTTGTAAGAATTGTTCAGATTTTCCTATTGAAATTTCTAAGCATAAAAGCAAATTATATTCCAATAATTTTAATTTTAGGAGCTCTCGTAGCATAGTGCACTTGACTGCTAACCAGAAGGCTGGTGGTTCAAACCCACCAGCCACTCCTCGGAAGGAAGGTTGAGCAATCTACTTCCGTAGTGATACTGCGTCGAAAACTGAAGGACGGGTCACTATGAGTCAGATCCGACTCGATGGCAGTGAGTTTAGTTTTGGGTTTGATTTTACATAAGGGAAAAAGATGTGGCAGCCTGATCCCATGGAGATTACAGCCTTAGAAACCCTATGGGGCAGTTCTACCCTGTCCTGTCAGGTTACTGTGAGTTGGAATGCACTGAACAGCAGAGTTCCTCTCTGTCTCTTTTTAAAATAGACTATACCTATTTTAAACAAAATAATACATACTTATTACATACATGGAAAATACTTGGGGGGACATGTAACAGTGGATGCCTCTGGGAGGGGAAACTGGGTGCTGGGAGTAAGCATAGAAGGGGGATTTTACACTATCTTTTTAAATTTTTTAATTTATGTATTTTTTCTATTTTAAAAAAACTCTAAATTAGTTAAAAATAAAGACCACAAATATCTACACCAGAATACATCTCTTACTAGAGAATGCATCATCTGAACTTTTACTCCCAAATAAATGAATGGCCATTTTTTTTCTCATGGCTTATAGGGAACTATATGTATATGAAGAGCTCTGGTAGCATAGTGCCTAAGGCACTTGATTGCTAACAAGAAGGCTGGCGGTTCAAACCCACCAGCCACTCCTCGGAAGGAAAGTTGGGTATTGCTACTTCCGTAGTGATACTGCCTCGGAAACCCAAGGAGGGGTCGCTACGAGTTGGGGCCGACTCGATGGCAAATAACAACAACAACAACATAGGGAACTAAAGTTTTAAGACAGAACATTTGTTTCCTGTTGGTTTACAGCCAGCTTATTCTTCTGGGCCCTAAGCTAATTGCAAGTAGATAGTCAAAATCTCTTTTAGCCCACTTAATAGACTGAGGTACAAATTTAGATCCGAGTCTAAATCTCTTTATTCTTTGTGGCCAACTGGTGAAAAAAAAATATGCTCTTAAACCTCACATCAAAGGGAACCTCCTTCAGTGAAATTTGAAACCCTGCTGGACACCTCAGAAAGTAGTTATATATGCAATTGTATTACTGCAATTCTCCTGCCCTGAAGTTGTAATTAACTTCATCTTGGCTTGCTACCCTAATGAGTTAATGCAATGTCCATATAAAAATCATGGCTAAATGGTAGCTTAGGCTCTAGGAAAATTTGGCTCAGTAATATCTGTGAAATTTGAGCTCATATTAAATATGCTTTAAAATAATACATTTGGAATTTGGCCCCTGGCACCAGATCAAGTTGCCTCTGCTGTGTGGAGTTGGGTATTTTGCCTCAGGTCCTCATAGTATGATAGCACTATGTGATTATAGAATCAGCAAGGGTATCATGATTTGGTGAAGACAAAGCACATCTAGTTCCTGTTGAACTTCTTGTCTTCTTCCTGATCATATGTCCTGAAATGGGAGAATCTTGCTTCTCCTGAACCTACAGCTTTCATCTCCTCATCCCCCAAGCTATGAATTTCTTTCCAGCCTAGTCTTTATCGCCTTCTTAGTAAAATAAATGGCATTTGCCCAACCTTGGACCATGTCTTCCTTTATGTATTCAAGTAAGCATACCTTCGCATAGCTATTCCAGTGAACAAGTTCCAGTCATCTCAAATCTCAGAATAGATGAAAGTCCTGTCATTATGGCTGTGAGTATTTGATTGATCATTAAGGCTGGCTACAGCAAACGCTTCTGACCAGTTGGACCAGGAGCCACTTGTCAGGGCAAGAGGTGTGGATTTTATATCCTCTCAGAGACATGTCCCTTTCCACTTCATCCTTGTTGACAGAATAAAAAGTCTGTTAATGATATGATGTTCATCAGCCAAATGTCCTTTATTTAAGGTGATACTGAGCTTCTTTTCTTAACTCAGAAACTGTGGTAGCATAGTGCCTAAGGCATTTGACTGCTAACTAGAAAGCTGGCAGTTCAAACCCACCAGCCACTCCTCAGAAAGAAGATTGGGTTGGGTGATCTACTTCCGTAGTGGTACTGCCTCGGAAGCCCAAGGAGGGGTCGCTATGAATTGGATTTGACTCAATGGCAGTGAGCTTGGTTTTTGGTTTGGTTTCTTAACTCGTTGCATAGTTCCTCTATCTAAAGCACAAGAACTGATAAACATGGGAAGCTTAATAAAACCCAACAGATAAAACATGTTTGTTAAAATTTATATTAAAAAGTTAGATTTCAATTTAAAGTGAAAACAAAAATTTTAATCCTCTCATATTTCCTGATAAGAATTTATATATATTAACATCTCTTAATCTCCTAAAATGTCTTTTTTTTTTTTTTTTTTCAGCACTTTCATATGCAGAGTAAATGGTAATTAAAATGTGCAGGATGACAAGATGGAGCAAACAGTGCTTGTACCACCAGGACCTGACAGCTTCAACTTCTTCACCAGAGAATCTCTTGCGGCTATTGAAAGACGCATTGCAGAAGAAAAGGCTAAGAATCCCAAACCAGACAAGAAAGATGATGATGAAAATGGCCCAAAGCCAAATAGTGACTTGGAAGCTGGAAAGAACCTTCCATTTATTTATGGAGACATTCCTCCAGGAATGGTGTCAGAGCCCTTGGAGGACCTGGACCCGTACTATATCAATAAAAAAGTGAGTGTTTTCTATCAGGCATATTTTGCTGTTAAATTGCCTACTGCATTCCTTGGACAGTTATAGCATAAACACATGCTGAATTAGCACAAAGTGTTAAGTACCCTTCTGTTTAAGAAGTGACACGTATTTGCATATATCCATGCATGTATATGAGGAACAAATTGATTAAGCACAAGAGATGGAACTGTCCTGAATGTAACTGATAAAAAAACCTCAATGCTGTCAAGTAAGATCTGACTCACAGTGACCCCTCCTTGGGTTTCCAAGGCAGTATTGCTACAGAAGTAGATTGCCCAATCTTCCTTCCAAAGAGTGGCTGGTGGGTTTGAACTGCCAGCCTTCTGGTTATCAGTCAAATGCCTTAGACACTACACCACCACTATGGCTATATTTATATTTATATAAGTATAATATTTAACAATATGATACAGATGCTGTTCTAAGTGCTTAACACAAACTAACTCATTTTATCCTCAGCAACTTTTCTCTCCCAACAGATAGCACCAGCCCCACCTCTGTCATGTGGTAACCACCATCTAAAATTGATTAAAACCACCCCTGAGCCTAACCTTTCATCAAACAGGGATGCAGTCTAGCATCCTAGCTCTTATCTGTGTCCTTTATAAAGAAATAAATGAATGTTTTGAGAGGAACAAACCAATACATGTAGACAAGGGCAGCAATTCATCGTGTGGAAACCAGCATTCAATCAATTTTTTCTTTAAAGTTAAAGACTTTTCAGAAGGATAAAAGTTGTTGTCTTGAAAGATTATCCCTGACCTAAACAATCCATGACTGGTTTATAATGAAGGCTACGGCTACGTAACAAAGATGATATCAAGGCATGTGGAAAATAAATTACATATACACTTTCAAACTGTTTAAAGGAAGTCCTTAAAAGCTAACTGTAAAAGACTAACTCTATTGGAATGACTATCCAGCCAGACTCCTTTGCTGAGGGAACCCTTATATATTTTGCTGGGTTCATATCCAAATTAACCTTTAACATCTTCTGTCCTTATCTTCAAATGCACATTGTGTCAGGATGGAAAACATTTTGGAATAAGTCACAATGTACAAGTAGAACAACCTGATTAGAGAAACATATTGTTATCAGAAAGTTTTTCTCAAGGTAAGGCACATCTCTTTCTTTCACATTGAGCTGACATCAGACAAGTCTTCAAATGTAAGCCACTCAACAGCAATTCAAATGAAACTTTTCACAGGGCTGAAATACTGAATAACTACTACTGAGAACAAGTGATTGAGCTTCATGTTTGCAATTTCCTTCTTTGTATTTTTATGTGTTAAAACTTTCTACAAGTTGCATCTACTTTTCTTGTACACTTTTCTTACATAATTGGATTATTTTGGTATTGAAGAATACCCTGAAATTCTGAGTTAATTTGTCCTATAGTTTGATTATAGTTGGAACATTTAGCAAATTCTTTGCCTTTGAAAAATAATAAAACTTTATTTTGTTTTTTGATGAAAATTTTATTTTAGTGATCTCGGTGTCTGAGACTGGCAGGATGATCATAATTAAAACAATTAAGTAGGCACACACAGTACTCCTGGTGTTACTAAAGGGTCTAGAATGGTGGAAATGTCAGTTGTGGAAATGTTTAATAGGATGATATTTCCCACTATGGTAAACAGGGGCACTGTGTGGATTTGCTGGCTGAGTGAGTTCATATATGCAAACATCAGTTAAGCCCAGATCTTTTCTCACGTTTAATTCAAGTCCAATAATAAGGCTGCCATTTTAACCAATATACAAATTCTCCCATTTCTTTCTTAATAATACATAGAATAAAAAAAGCAAACAGACTATAAAAACAGTTGCACAATGCATTTTTAAATTAATGTTTTACAATAAAGTATATTATATACATATAAGAAATTAACATAAACAGAAACAACCTAAAACCACATCAAAGCTCTCCTTGATCTTTTACAAAGACAATGTCAGAATGTCACTGCCGATGATGTATTTTCGGATGGCATATGCCCACGTATTTTTATCCTCTTTGTCCCAGTTTAAAATGTGCAAATTATATAATGTTCAAATATTCTAGTAAAATTGTTAGTTCAGCCATGCTCAATGAAAATGTTTTTGTTGTTGTTATATGCCATCAAGTTGGACCCGAACTCATAGCGACCCCTCCTTGGGTTCCCGAGGCAGTATCACTACAGAAGATTGCCCCATCTTCCTTCCGAGGAGTGGCTGGTGGGTTTGAAACTCCATCCTTCTGGTTAGCAGTCAAGTGCCTTAGGCACTATGCTACCAGAGCTCCCAATGATAATGTAGTAGTGACCAAAGAAATAATAGAAACCATCTCATGAACATTCCTGGTACATGGAAGCATGAGGACTTTCCATACCCTCAAAGGTTTTAAACCTTCAGAAGTCCATGGTAAGAATTAAGGGATGAAATAACAGTGCTGTGAAATAACAGTGCTATCAGAATTTAAGCACAGAATTTTCCATATCACATTAGCTCTGGTCCAGTAGTCTCTAGAACATGATTGCAGGTTGGGTTCTTTTTGTTTGTTTACTTACTTCAGCTGTGTAGCAAGGCACATTTTGGCTTGTGAACACACCTTTTTTTTTTTTCTTATGCAATTTTTTCACAGTTTCCTTTCATAGCTTGGGTTGATTTTGCACCATTTGGCTATACATTCAAATTCTTCACCCACTCTTTATTACAGAAAAATTCTCCCTTCTCATGTTCTTCTTAAAATTACAAAGGACTCAGTCTTTCCATGGAAGGAAATATCGTTTTGACAATGTGACATTTTACTGGAAATAATGAGGTATTTTAGATCTGTAGTACAAAAGATTAGTTTATTAACTATGAAAAAATATATTTTTATATACTTTATATATTTAAAAAATATATTCATTACTCAATTATCTTGTGGACCATTTAAAAAGACTTATTATACTTTTATATCAGCTGTTCTAAAAATGTGCATTCTCTCTTTAATAGGAGGCATGAGAGTAATACATGAACCTGTGATTTCCAATTCATTTCTGATATGCAATTGCAATAGAAATTTTTATATTTTTATATTGGGTAGAGGAAGTTGTTTATTTTGATTTTCATTGGGATTAGGGTATTTTTATCACAAAAGTAATTTAATAGAAAATGAGAAAAGTAGATGATGGTTAAATGCTTAAGACTTCATGAATTGTCATATGGACAGTCCCCAGTTTACATTTTTTCTTTGCATAACATTAGCTCCTACAACTACCAATTACCCCAAGCTGATTCCACCTGGGGCACTATAATTTGACTTCCAAATGTTTTTCTATGTCATACAGGTTCCATTATACCCTTTCCTTATACCCTTTCTGTCCTCTTCATGCCCCACACTCTGTCACAGAAATGGTCCCAAGGAGATGATAGTGTTGACAAAATAATGGTTAGAATTTATTGAGTACCTGCTATATTAATTTGAAATCCTTCAAATGAAAGTGACCAAATCCCAGCTGTCGGGCAAATCTGGTTTCAATATTGATGGATCCAACAATGTCATCAGGACCTAATCCCTTTCCATTTTTTGCTTGGCTTTCTCCTGTGCTGGCTTCATTGTAGGATGACTCTTCCCACAAGATGGCAGAAATAGCCACCAGTAACATTAAGCTAACATCCGACAACCTAGTAACCTGAAGAGAACAAGCTTGCTTCTTCTTCAAAAGTCAACAGCAAAAATTAAATAAATTTTATACACACACATATACATACATACACATAAAACCAAAACCAAACCCACTGCCATTGAGTCGATTCCAACTCACAGTGACCCTATAGGACAGAATAGAACTGTCCCATAGGGTTTCCAAGGCTGTAAATCTTGAAGGAAGCAGTCTGCCACTCCAGTAGATAGCTGGTGGCTCTGACTTTTTGGTTAGTAGTCAAATGCTTTAACCAATATATCATCATGGCTCCTTATACATATATATACAGATATACGTATATAGTCCTAGAATTGATTTTACTTAGGTAACATGGTCTATTCTGAACTATCACCAGGGCTATGTGATGATCTCCTTGGCCAGATCAGTATCACATGTCCTTTCATATAGCTCAGGGGTGAGACCAGCTCTACCAAAGGCACAAGGACAGAGGATGCAGCAGAGCTTTTCTGTAGAAGGAAGAGATGGGAACTATCAGAGAAGAAAGGATTCTGAGTAGGCAAAAACAATAACTATTTGAGCTATGTATCAAGATATTTACAGTCCATATTTAATCCATATGTCCTTCCAAGATTGCTCTCCTCTCTATTTAAAAATAATGAAACTGAGGTTAAGTAATTTGCTAAAATCACAAAGCTATTGAGTAACAAAGACTAGATTTTAAACCAGATCTGTCAGTTCCCAGGGCCCATCATGGTATTTTTGGGTTTGTAGTAGTAGCACTAGGAGCTCTGGTAGCATAGTGGCCAAAGCACTTGACTGCTAACCAGAAAGCTGGCAGTTCAAACCCACCAGCCACTCCTCAGAAGGAAGGTTGGGCAATCCTACTTCCGTAGTGATACTGCCTCGGAAACCCAAGGAGGGGTCACTATGAGTCGGGGCCGACTCCACTGCACATAGCAACAACAACAACAGTAGTAGCACTGGGAGCTCTGGTAGCATAGTGCCTAAGGCACTTGACTGCTAACTAGAAGGCCGGCGGTTCAAACCCACCAGCCACGCCTTGGAAGGTTGGGCAATCTACTTCGTAGTGATACTGCCTCGGAAACCCAAGGAGGGGTCGCTATGAGTCGGAGCCAACTCAACGGCACATAACAACAATAGTAGCACTAATGATATCAGTGTAAAATAGAAAGCCAAAGTGACAAAATCTAGATAAGCCCAGAGCTGCTTTTGCCCCTCAACTCCTGCCACTTTGCAAACTATACTTATGTCTCCTTGCTGGCAGTATTTCCCAAACACTTATGTGTCACCTCAGCCCAAGACTTTATTCTGCCAATCAAGAACATCTCCTG